GAGGGGGATTTGAAAAGAAAGTACAAGCAATTTTCTCAGTTAATCAATTACACACCAAAAAAAAAAAGATATTGCAATTAAAATAGAATAGTCAAAGTTCAAATATCTGCTTTATTAATTATTTAAAAAAAAACAATTCGAGATATAAGTAAATTATTTATTTGTATGGTACTTATTTTTTTAATAAAAAAAAATATTTTACCGAATACTAAAAGTTTTAAAATACATCCCAATGTCATAACAACAAAATTACCGTATCAAAAAAATTAATTTCAATATAATAATTCGATATGTATTGTCCCATGCATCTATATATTAATGGTTCAAAATAGAATCTTATATATTAATCGAATTTTACTTCTCCATATTTATAGTATTAATTTTTTATTATATTATTTAATCACCTAAAAATTAACTATCTATTGATCATTGATGTGACAAATAATTTTGGATAGGACAAATATCATTACTCTCCTCTTAATCATGTATAAGTTTGAAATTAATAACTTTCAACGCATCAATAATTAATGGAGGGATCAATTTAAAGTGCTTCAGCATATTAATCTAGATTAAATTGTTTTAACAAAAGTAATTCTTAATTTATGTATTATAATTGATTTCACAAAAAAAAAAATACATATTAACAAGAAAATATACATAAAAAACTTCTTCCTAACTCCTTCCTTTTGCAAGCAACTATTCTACTATGTGCTGCTCTCTATAGCTATATTTTAGCCACGAATTCTCCACCTTCTGCTTCAAAGACCTATATTTATTTGAAATTGCATTGTTAGGATTATCAAGAAAATTAGTTATGCATCTTTAAATATCACACAAATTTTTAGAAGAAATCGCAAGGTGAAGAAACATAATTTAAGAACTTAATAATTAATTCATGAGGTATTTTATATCAAGAAAACTACAACATATTAACCAAAATAAGTAATTAATAATCAATAATCATATAGAATTAATCATAGTCCAAAAGAAAACTTACCAAATAAAGATAAATTGCCCAAATTTTCTTGTAGAATTAAAGAATCAAGTCATCAATTTGCCAATGCAGCATCATCAAGATTCTCATGTATTCAAAAATTGGGCATATTTCATTTCATAGTCCATATTTTCTATGTGAATCTTGATGGTGCTGCACTAGCAAGCAACAACTGTATGTTGAGGCAAAGCTACAATATCAAAATTAAATTCGATAACATAGTCAGAAAATTCACTGACTTTAAATTTTGAATTTGTACGTGTTAAAGTATGTCATCAATCATACATACGTTTAATCCATCATCCTCCATAAGATTGGGACAAAATTCCTTCTCAGAAGTTGAGTAAGAAATTATAACAAAGAAATCATGAAAAGAATGCAAAAACGTTACACTTGATATTCAAACAAATCAAATTCGCTACAATAAAACGAAGAGGATTCAATTGAACTCATTCAAAACACGTAGCTCTGGTCCCTGAAATTGGATGATATTCTATGTGGGAAATTCTACCTCTATCATATTTAGACCTAGAATTTTTCATAATTAATATAGCTCAAAGAAAATAAATAAAAAATGAGGTAAGAAAAATAAAGTAATAAACTTAAAAAATCGATACGTATACCTAACATCAAAATAAAAATCAAACTAAAAAAAATCAAGCAGACAAAAAGGACAAAAAAATGTTTGTATTCTCTAAATGAGAAATCTACACATTTGGGGACATATCCTTTAAATGATGTGAATAATTAGGTGGAATTAATATTGAAATATAATTGAAGAGAGAAATAATTAATCCAATAAAACAAATCTAGTACTAAGAGCTAAGAAAAAATCAATTTGCTATAAATTTGAAATATATGAGAATAAAAATCCAAGTATTATTCAGGTGTTTGAAGAACCTTAGATAAAAATCGATGTTTATAATAAACAGAAATCTAACTTATAATATCTAAAAAAACTTAAACACAAGAACATGAATCGGTCATTTAATGAATCGACAAGTACTCAACGGGAGAAGATAATCAAAAACATAAAACAATTAACATCAACTGTAACAATATATGAATCACGACTAAACTATATCAATCTTCACTGTTCATATTGTTCAAGCGTAAAATTAAACTCATTTTACTCCATACTATATAAAACAAAATCCTAGATGCATATTATATTATTCATATAAGTAGGAAGAAATTCAGAAAAGAAAAAAGAATTATATGAAAAATTATTTGGATTTTTGACAAACTAAAGGAGGGAAGAAAATGAAAAAGAAAAAAATTGAAGAAGAAGAATACAGGCAATGAGTTGAGAAGGGAAAAGAGAAGGGTATACTTATATAGAAAATTAATTAACCTACCTCTTAGCTGGTTTTTTTCTTATTCTTCTATTACCAATAGGTGTATGAATATTTATGTGCACTTTTTATTTATTTATTTATTTTTAATTTAAATTTTGTTGTATAAAAAAATATGAAAGAGTTGATGGTCTATCAACAATAATCTTTCTATTTTATGAGATAAAGATAAGATCGTGTACGTACATATGCACGACTTACTCTACAAACTTCACTCATCAAATTTAATTTACTGAGTCTATATATATAAACTCGATCCGGTGGAACAAAAGAAAAACATTTATTGGTTTCTCTCTTTTTTTCGAAAGTATATTTTAAAAATATCTTGCAAACAAATATTGATTTTACCAATTACTTATTTTTTGTTTGATAGCTATCATTTTGAACTATTGATTAATTTGGATATAAGATTTATATACATAAAAAATAATAATTAAAAGGAACATCTTTTATCAAAATAAATTAAAATTTTAAAATTTAAACTCGAAATCATTATTGAACATCTAGTTCAATTCAGTCATGATAAATAATTAGACTATGAACACATAAAACAACAACAAATATATATTTTCATCTTGATATGATATCATTACGAGCTACAGACAAAAATAAAGATAATCATCCTAGACTTTTTTGTTTATATTAATGTTGTCATGATCAACTTAATTATCTTAAATATTGATCGAAAGCGTTTTCTCGATTTATATATAATAAAGGGATAAGGGTCTGAAAAATATCCCAACTTTGGTCGGATTTGCTGTTGCGATACTAAATTTTCATGAGGACCTATTGCCTCCCTAGACTATTTAATACCGTATTTTTTACCCCCTGAACTATTTAATAGTGTATTTTAAAGGTATATATGTGTCCACGTGGACACATTACTATTTATAATTTTGTATTATTTTTTATGTCCATGTGGGCAAATATATATGTTTAAAATACGGTATTAAATAGTCTAGGGAGGTAATAGGTCCTCATGAAAGTTTAGTAGCGCAACAGCAAATCCGACCAAAGTTGGGATATTTTTCAGACCCTTATCCCTTTATTATATATAA